TATTGTGGTGTGGTGCTCTTGTGGTGTGGGGCGCACCCACAGCAACACGATGCACTTTGCTTTGGTTTGAATGGCGTGGCGCGCGGTCTCCGCCCCGCCCCGCCTCTGCCCGCGTCAATAATTGGTTGCGGTGGTCGTTGCGTTATTCCTATCCTCACCACTACGCGCCGCCACTCCATTAGCTGCGTGTTTGCGTCCTGCCAATAGAGGCCGGCGGCGCGGGAGGCGCGTGGCAAATACCGTTAATGACCGCAACCCTAAACTGAACCTGCCCTGCGGCTGCAGACCCCCGCGGCCCACAAGGACCGGACCGGGTAGGCAGCAGCCGAGCGCGGACTGCATGTATCCGTCATGTGGCCTGGTTCCGCGTGCCTCGCGAGGTACAAAGTATGGAATAGTCAAAGGCACAACACTTTTGAGAAAGTCCCCAAGACTCTCTGTATCAGAAGGGGACACCGTGCCCCTTCCGCTCTCGCTACTCCATTTCTTTTTAAATCTAGCTAATTTTTAAAGTTTTGACGGTAATAATTTATTTTAACTTTACGAGGATATTTTTCAAAGGAGGAGGATCAGAGAGCCGCTTACCACCCATACTATACCATATCCCCGAAAAAAAACATTGGTTTCTTCGTGGGTTTCTTTTGATTTATTGCATCCTTCTGATGATGCATCAACTTAGTTTAGCCCGATTGAACCAAAATTGTGGGTGTGGCGTTAATCGCATAAGACCCAAAAGGGCCAAAATCGACCATTTGGGTATTAGTGGCCATTTGCAAACAAATGTTAGCACAAAGTTCCTTCGGGGCTCTATGGATAAGTGGGAGGTCGAAGGTCCAATCTATCTTTTGTTGATCTTTCCAGATTTTTTCGACCCGTGGTTCAGAAGTTACACCTGAATTTTACAAGTATTGGACCAAAAAATGTATTTTGGTGACCGTCTAGAAATTATTTTTGTGAAGTCCTAATCATTTATAATTAGGACTAAACCACTAAAATAAATTAGTCAGTCGCCAAATGACAAAATTATGCCTCAGTCAGGTGCAACAGTACTAGTCCGAAACTTTACAAGTGTAGGAAGGGCCCAGGGTGTCAATTTCGGATACGCAAAATTAGGAGATTACAAGGATTACACGTGAATTTTAAGGGATTACAAATACATTTTGTTGAATTTCTGGGGCTAAATCAATTAAGTAAATTTCGATAATTCGGTAAAATTTGGTGATGATCTTTCAAAATTTTGTTTTACGCAGATTACACAGGGATTTCATAGGGATTACATAGGGATTACACTTCTATCTGTGCACAGGATTACATGAGTGGTGGCCCCTCACATCCGCGCTCAGAACAGTAAGACCGAGGGCATACGCGTATGAGGCAGCTTCCCTTCAATGCCACCAACCCGACAGCCGGCCTGCTAGTGTGCGTTACAGAACATGCCCCAGCAGTGTCATTGAAAGGTC